AACTGTATAACCCACGTGATTATGGAACAAACAACGTCTAAATTACTAGGTAATCAAAATCCTGCACGCACTTAGTTCATCAGTCATAAGCACATTTCTGCTAAGCTAAGCATAATCATAATACAGTCACAAGCTGGATACATCTCGTTTTACCTCAATCCTTTCGGTCAAAAATTTGCGATGTGTAGGTTTTGTAACCAATCAATACACCAGACAAATCGCGGAGCAAAATTTGTCGACACACAAACGTAGTGATCCATCTTTTTTATTTACCACTACTAGAGGCTAACCATGATTTGATGTGGAATCTTCAATAATTCCTTCTTGTTGTAGTTGTTGCAATTCTGATATAACCTTGTCCATATAATGAATAGGTACTACATGTGTAGGTTGGAATATCTTCATCTATAATAATAGGTAACTCTTCATTGATTGCATTACACGAGTTTGTATCAAGTACATCATCATGACTGACTGACTTTCTAACCCACCAGGACATCACACAAGCGACAAACACCCGATGACACAATGTGCCACCATGTGGGTGAAGATCACCGTGGAGAGGTCCCAGAAACCGCGTTCAGCCTTGAGGCCGTATTTATGGCCAGGCTATATTGCGGCCCCTGGCAAGAGCCAGAGTAGGGCTTTAAATAACGAAAAATTTCATCGTAAAAAGGACGTGAAATTCAGTGAAATTCGTACATCATTATTTGACATCAACAAAGATCTTCTTAAATATGGTTTAAGCATATTTACATGAAAATTTTGAAATTTTTATCAATTTTGATTTTATAATCAACATCAGAAATTATCATCATTTCACTTTAAACCGATATAGTAGATATAATGACTAGACAATACTACAGATACAATAGGTGTAAAGGTGGTTTAAACTCTTCACCAGCTCAGTACTAGGAAAGGCATGCAGTAAATATTAAATGCAGTATTAAAGGGCAGTAATTGAGGGTAATCAGGAACCATAATCCCTAGTAATACAATTAAAGTTAATTTGACTTATTTACTATATATATATATATATATATATATATATATATATATATATATATATATATATATATATATAAATGTTTTGTGTGTTTGTTTGCCCCTTATAGACTCGGGAACTACTGAACCGATTTAGCTGAAAATTTCAGGATATGTTTGTTTTTATACCGGATGTTGAACCATCATTGCTTCAAATTCAACCTGTCACTGTTAGAGATAAGTGGCCACAATTTAAGCCATAATATTCGAAACTAATATTTATAATTTTAGTGATTTCTAATTATAGCCACGTTAGTAATTGCGCATGCACCGTAGTCAGAACGTAAGACTTCCGCCATTCGCCGGAATCCCCTAGTTACGTGCAGCCAACGCCTTCTCTAATACATAGAGTAGGTTGTGGTACAGCAAACAAGACTATCTCTATATTTGCCACAATAACCATATTAAACACGATTTATATTTTCTTTTTTTTTTCAAACAACCTTCGATGGGGGAGGGGGGGGGGCATCAAGGACTATCTCGACTTCGGCGCAGACATTGACTGCGACATTAACTTCATTAACCGTATGAGACACGTGCGATTTCTATTGTTGTGCCGTTTCATTAATATATCTGGAGTATCTGTCTATGAGAAAACAATTGCCTGCGGTGTTGAGTTGTGTTATAATCGGAACACAGTAGTAGGGACACACATCTCTAATAGTTAAGTTCTCTTTTCGTTGCTCCGATGAAGTGGCTACTTGGTCGAATGGTTAGAACACTGGGTTCCTGTGCGGGAGACCAGGGTTCGAATCCGCAGTAGTTAATTTTTTTTACCCCGGACTAAAATAATATCCTCATCTGCTCTGTCGTGGTGACAGCACTAGCCATGTTGTCCTTAATACTAAAAAAAAAAAAAAGACAAGTAAATGGGTAAACCATTTGATAATTAAATTTGACCATTTCTCATACTTATGATTGCATTTTTAAACTTTCCGATTGCATGGTTACGCTGAAATTTCATAGCTTTCCATTTATTTTAATTTAGATTTAGTTATTTCATCTGCGTTGGAATTTTAAGCTGGGCTGTTTACCATAGCGTTCATTTCCTAATTATGGTGTTTTTTTCCTGTTTTCATTTGCTTTTCAAGTTTTTTTTTTTCTCTCCCAACTACTTCAATGAGGGATCGGGGAAAAGCTGCCGGCATACACCTTCAGACAGATTTCTGAGGTCAACAAAGTTTGCCTACCAATAGAAACCCGCTCTGGGAACGCAACAACGAAACACACACACACACACACACACACACACACACAAAAGGATTCTCGAAAAACAAAACCAAGATGCTGCTGTGATTGTCGCTGGTGCTATGTAGTTCATGCTTTGTAAGACATTTTTATATAAAAACACGCGCGTATTCAAATGTAACGTTGTATTAACATTCGAAAGCAATCGGTGGAGAACTTTCGGAGATTAGCTATCACTTACTAGCGAACATTTACATTTATATATATATATATATATGTTAATGTTCGCTAGTTAGTGATAGCTAATCTTCGAAAGTATATATATATATAATAGTTATTTACCACTAGCACATTTATTTTATTATTATAAAGACTTGGGAGAGATGTTATTGTTAATGTTGTTGTTGTTTTGTTTTTGTTGGGGACATCAAAGATTAGCCGCCCGCCCCTTTGAGGCCCCACTGAGGTCTTTTTTAGGCTCCCTAGAAAATTAGGAGGAGGGCTAAACTTTCCAAATGTTTCCCCTTTATTAGCACCCCTGGTACCTACACAAAGGAATATTAATGTAATCAAAAAGTCACAACAGATTTTGATTAAATATTCAATAAATATTTCTTCAGTCTGTAGAAAATGTAATAGCACAATAGAAGAATTACAACATCCAGACATTCAGCTCTTGTTGCGCACTTTTCCAGCCTATATTTTGACTCTGGTTTCGATGGCACTTGTGTGGAATGTTCTTTATTTAAAACAAAGGGCACTAAAGCACTTCAGTAGCGAGAGCATGATTGGTTACATTGTTTTCGTTAGTGTGATTGGCTGAATTTTGAACGTCTACTACTGGCTCTTCGTGATTGGCTATCTGTAAATAATTTTAAAAGGAGATAAATTATTTAAAAAAATCAACGGAAATCTAACCGCTAGGAAAACATATTACTTTACAAAGCGTAGAGTTTTCCAATATAACTGTTGCATACGATTAAACAGGGTTTCTTAAATTTCCTTCTGTAGGGTTCACATCTGAACAGTAACCCCTCTTCGAGTTATAAGTTCACTCTTGCATTCTGCAATCCTGATTATGGGGGAGTGGGAAGGACTTTTTATACATTAGACCAGTGGTTCCCAATTAGGTAAGACGACAGAACCATTTTGTTTGTATAGCCCTCTAACAGCACCCTACTTTATATATAGCATATCATATCTCTCACACACACGCCGAGATGTTTAATTTCTAAATGATACCACGTACCCCCAGCTGTCCACGGAGCACTAATTTGGGAATCACTGCCTTGGATAACAGGCATCTTATAACTCAAAACAAATATTTTTATTTTTAACAAACGATTCAGTATTGCATGAGTCTTCTTCTGCTTTCTTATTTGTCCTACTCCATATGCAGTAAAGTGTTGCAGGCATAGTTTCCTCTCTTTTTATTAGCTGTGTAGCTGGATTTTTACGAAACAGCGTTTTTGTAGTGTCTCTTTTACTCCCTCCCTTCCTTTCTTTCTTGGTTGACCTCTTCACTTGTAGCCTGCTGTCTTTATGCAGTACTCTCTAGTTTGTTCCATTATGACCAGATGGCCAAACCATTTGATTCATTGATGTACTGTGAAATCATTGACGGGCACTGTCCACCATTGTTCTTAGTACTTCGATGGTAACTCTTGTCTTCTGTTGCTTTTTCTACTGCATTTCTTACACATCGTTTTACACATGTTGGCGGGTTGCGTGGTCTCGAGGCATGGTGTCCGCCTCGAGTGCTGGAGGTTTCGAGTTCAATCCCCGGTAAGGGCTGGGATTTTTTCACCTGGACTTGGACTTCTAGTAATTCCCCGTGGTCCCTGAGTAGTGAGATCGGACGCCCATGTGCATTGTTGCACACGTAACAAATTTCTTTGCAGTTGGAAATAGAAAAGAGTAGCCCAACGGCGCCGCTCGGGGAAAATATAGAGTTAAAAATCTACCCAAAATATTTCAGGATCCTCGCCGGTGCTACATAGTGTGTGCACTGCCCTTGGCTTCTTCGCACTCAGACTTCCGTTAGAAGAAGAAAGGAGCACTTATGGGTTACTACCCGTATGCCATGATGTTGGTCAAACTTCAAACTTCCACTCACATGTTGAAATTCTGCGTTTATTTTTATTATTATTTTTTCCTTGGGCCTGTGCATGTCCGACGTCGATAGCTAAATTAGATGGAAAATGTTGCTGTATCAGGCCAGTCGCTTTTGAATCCAACAAAATGTCATTGTTTCCATTACTGTGTGAGTCTGTCTGACAGTTTTTTGATATACTGGACATTGGAGCACAATTGTTGTCAGTCTGTCTCTGCATATGTGAACACTTCTCTGTCACGTCGTGATGATGTTCACAAAAGTCGAACAAGAACCAGAGGGAGAAGTACATAATAGATAGATAGATTTATAGACTAATCATATTAAAAGCAGATAATGAAGGAGGAGAAGAAGAGGAGAAGACGAAGTAATAGTATTAGTAGTAGTAGCAGCAGCAGTAGCAGCAGCAGCAGCAGAAGCAGTAGTAGTAGTAGTAGTAGAAGTAGTAGTAGTAGCAGCAGTAGCAGCAGCAGCAGTAACAGCAGCAGCAGCAGTAATATTAATATTTGTAGTAGTAGTATTAGTGGTTGTGGTGGTGATGCTAGTAGTATTAGTAGATGAGGAGGAGGATGAGGAGGAGGAGTAAATATACAGGAAAGGAGAATGATAACAAGGAGAAGAGCGAGAAGCAGAAAGAGCAGGAGAAGTCTAAAGCCTAAAGAATACGTACCTTTTGTTTGGCTGTATAATGCGCCCACACGTCCCAAATCTCATTGACTAGTGGTAGGACAGTCATGGCAAACATGGACAGAAACGCCCAGACCTCCGATAATTTTACCTGCAAGAAAACATCTCAAATGTGTTCCTGTTTATACTGTCTTTTTACACAAAAGCGGCAGTGTTTGGATCATTAATAATGTATAGGGCAGACACTCTGACTTCAGTATTAAATTAGTACTAGGAGAAGTCCTGGGAAATAAAGGTGGCTGACATGGTCCTGTCCATATCACCTACTGAGTGGGAACTGGTTTGTAAGAATATGAGTCTAGCACAGTGGTCTCCAACCTGGACCAGAAAAATGGAAGAGGGTTGGGGGTGGGGGGGGGGGATGTTGGGGTGGAGGGGGAAGGGTTGAGGGCATCGAGGTTGTTTCAAAAGGGGGTCGGGTGGCATCGAGGAAGTTTTAAAAGGGCGTGGGGTGGCTTTGAGAAAGTTTGAAAAGGAAAACAATGCACGTCAATCGATTTTGAACATGACTTCACCTGGTGCCCATTTAAGGCTGAGTCTATCTGGGCGCTAAAGCCATTTTAAAAAAGTCTGGCCTCAGCAGGACCTGACCCCTTAACCTTCGGGTCCGCAGATAAGCTCCTAACCTCTGCACCACAATGTCTCTCCTTGCTTAAGATTTTATTTCTTATTTAATTACATGTTGAGGGAGGCGTGGGGATCGTGTCTTATATACAAAGGGAAGGGGGCACCAGGAAAATGTTGGAGACTACAAGTCAAGCATGATATGCCCCATGCGTCACAGGTGTGAAAAAAAATCCTAATAGACATTCTGAAGGCTTTCTTTAGAACTAATGCTGATGGAAGATATGCTATTGGATGATATGTTGATGGAAGATATGCTATTGGGTGATTTGTTAATGGAAGATATGCTATTGGATGATATGTTGATGGAAGATAGGCTATTGGATGATACGCTGGTGGAAGATATACTATTGGATGATATGCTAATGGAAGATATGCTATTGGATGATATGCTGATGGAAGGTATGCTATTGGATGATATGTTGATGAAAGATATGCTATTGGATGATATGTTGATGGAAGATATGCTATTGGATGATATGTTGATGGAGGATAGGCTATTGAGTGAAATGTTGATGGAAGATATGCTATTGGATGATATGTTGATGGAAGATAGGCTATTGGATGATATGTTGATGGAAGATAGGCTATTGGATGATATGTTGATGAAAGATAGGCTATTGGATGCTATGTTGATGGAAGATATGCTATTGGATGATATGTTGATGGAAGATATGCTATTGGATGATATGTTGATGGAAGATAGGCTATTGGATGATATGTTGATGGAAAATAGGCTATTGGATGATATGTTGATGGAAGATATGCTATTTGATGAAATAACACGTGTAAGGTGGCAGGAATTTACTTCAGTGTGGATCCAGGAAAAAAAGGACCTATGAGAAGAAGAGCACAACCTGTGTACAACCAGTGTGTTAATGGAGCAATCGGTTTTTGCGTCTTTATACACTTGTGTGGGAGACGGAGCATCTGTGTGTATGCCCGATGTGCTATGATGTCGATTCTTAAATCAGCAGTCAGTAATAATCACCGCATTTACTGTCTGTATTTTAAATTAAAAAAAAAAACTGTGAGGTACTAGAGAATTAAAATGAGATTCGACGAGATATTGGAAGCATTTTACATAGAGTTTTAATGCAAGTTAGTTTACGATAGTAATACAGCAGAAAGTGTCTTTGACCACACAAAAGTTAAAAAGGGATGCATATTATCACACATTATGCAACCTGGCCACTGCCTGGCTGATGAAGAAAGTTACAAGAGGTAGAGAGATATATGATGGTTGCTGTGAATGTCTTATGTTTCAACAGTAACACGTAGAGGTGAAATATAGAGAACAAGAAAAGAAATATGTTGAGGGAGGGAAAGGAAAGAAGGTGAGGGGTGAAACTGAAGATTTCAGGCTGCATGGCAAGTGAACTGGCTATTTATAACGTTATTTCATAGCCAAGTTCGAAAAAAAAAAAAAAGTGAAGAACCTTTTTCCACGCTTTCAGGTGTATTGGGCATATAGGGATAGACCTGTATTTTTAGACCAATCGGCACTTCGTTGGTGATGTGGTCAGCATCACACCGGCCGCCTTCACTTTCCGGGACTGCACCCGGTACCCACCCAAGGCTGGGTCGACCTGGAAGTCAAGTTTATTTTTGAAAAAAGTTTGGCTCCGCCAGGGAGCGAACCCACAATCATTTGATCTGCACGCAAGCGTCTAGCCACTACGCCACAGTGATTCTCTGCTAGTTGTAGTAGTTTAACAAATGACACGTAACCGAGCTAGGGCTAGCTCAGCTGCTTAGTATATTGTAATGTTGTAAAATCTTAGAATGTCAGTGATTCCTCCAATCCATGCTTTTCTCTTCTCCCTCTGCCTCTTGGTGATTATATTTTAACATTGTACGAGCAATTGTTGAGATCACTGTCACCAGGCAGCTGAACAATTTTAGTCTCTCTTTAACGATTACTTTAACGACGAGCACCGTTCCAATAGTTATTGTATCTCTTTATTTCAGACATGATCTCTTCTGAATTTTGTTCACAGCCTTTGTTAAGCATCTCACTTCAGATGTGGTTAGTTTTCTTTTATGTTTATTAAAAAATGCCTATGTCTGATGCTGGTAACCTAAAGTTGGAATAAAAATAGTATTTATAATTAAAGAGCTAACGATTACAAATTAGCAGACAAATTAACAGCCGAGAACCTGTAGGGATTCTGACCGCTGACATACCCAACCATGAAACTCTGTCCTTGACATCACTCCCGTAGCCACCATCGCTGCTGGCCAGAGAATCACCAAACATCCAGACACAATCGTTGACATGAAATAGGCCATATTTTTGGCCCCCTTGAATGCTTTTTGTACTTCTTGGAGGCTAGGTCGATTCTCAAGTCTGTGTGACCCATAGAGGTTCAGTTCTCTGTGAACAACAGTAAACAGACAGAAACTCTTAAGACCGTAGAAACCGTATACATAATTAACAAATAGACATCTATTGACTGGTACTTACAGGGTTAAGTAAAAAGATAGCAGGAAATCACACGCATTGGAATCCTCGGTATGTTTATGGATTTTTTCTGTAAAGGGGCACTTTGACACACAAACACACGCACAAAAACCTATTCTGCACAGTCAGTAGCAACATCACTAGCCATGCGTCTCAAATCCGCAGGTCCAAAGACCACCCCCCCCCCCTTTTTTTTCCTTTTCCCCTTCTCTTTTTTCCCACCCTCATATCCCTGCCTAAAGCATCACTTCAGAGGTCCCAGGTAGTTAGCATCCTTTGCATATTTTCTCCAGGTCATGCCGGTGTTTTGAGCATTGAAATAATACTAGAAGCATAATAAATTGACTATGATGATAATAAATAATAAAGTAGTAGTGGTGTGGGAAATCAAGAATCAAATGAACTAAATCAAGAATAAGCAGATAAATGGAATTAAGAAAGACTTGAACGAAGAAGGAAAGGAGCCACAGAAAAAAAAGTAAAATTGAAAAAAAAAGAAAGAAAGAAAAAAGAAAAATGATGCAATATTAAAGAGAAAGAATGAAACAAAAAAAGAAAGACAGAAAGAAAGAAGAAAAAAAAGAAGGGTAAGAAAACGAAGAAAGAAAGAAAGATAAAGAGAAGAAAGATATAAAATCAAGAAGAAAAAAGAAAGAAAAGAAGAAAGAAGAAGAGAAAGAAAGAAAGAAAGAAAGAAAAAGAAAAAAGAAAGAAAGAAAAGAAAAGAAAGAAAGAAAGAAAGAAGAAAGAACTAAAGAAAGAAGAAAAAGAAAGAAAGAAAGAAAGAAAAGAAAGAAAGAAAGAAAGAAAGAAAAGAAAGAAAAATAGAAAGAAAGAAAGAAAAAGAAAGAAGAAAATAAAGAAAGAAAAGAAAGATAGAAGAAAGAAAGAAAGAAAGAAAGAAAGAAAGAAAGAAAGAAAGAAAGAAAGAAAGAAAGAAAGAAAGAAAGAAAGAAAGAACAATACTAATTGCCTTTGTACTTCTTTGGTATTTCTCCATCCATGGGGACAAAGGATTGTCAATGTCCCTGGTTGTCTCCCATATCTCAACACCCGTGCTGGGGTCGAACCGGATGTTCCTGACCAAACTGACCACGACCGTGATGAGTCCGCCGGCCAGGATGGCCGCCAGGTTGCCGGACAACATGGCCAGTTCCTGACCTGAAAAGAAAGTTATGGGGATATATTCACTAGCGGCAGCAACATGTCTGTACATAAACCTGTACCCGCATCAACGTTTGTCCTGTCAATAGGCGCGGGTTGTAGGGGCGTCAAAAACTGAGCGCTGAGGCTATATGAGCACCCACCCGGCCTTCTTCGCCCTCTCTCCTCACCTACTTGTGTAAGGCAGTTTCCCAAACTCTTCTTCGTCGCGGCGCCTTTTTTCAAATAAAAAACTTTCCACAGCGCCCTGACCCAAGTAAAAGTATCACTATTCGTGTCTTGGTTCAATTACTTATGAAGCTTTTACAATATTTCGCGGCGCCCCCGTGAAGAGGTCGCGGCTTCCCAGGGCGCCGCGGCGCACAGTTTGGGAATCACAAGTGTAAAGGCATCTAAACAACCCCGTTTAACCGTGTATAACACATTCTCTTTAAATTTATTTGTTAAGACATTTTCATGCTTTTTTTTTCAAACGCTGTTTAATACTTTTGAACACATTTAGCATATTATTATTATGTTCTTAAACATGGATTAGGCCTTTTGAGAATTGTGTATGGTTGGAGGACGGTGGGAGGGGCATTGGGCTCAAATCAAATCAAATCAATTTCTTTGCCATCCACTTAAGTGGCAGGACAAGATCACAAACACTGAGGTATTGGAAAGAGCAGATAGTACAACAGTTTTCTCAATGCTCCGTCTGCGAAGGCGCAGGAGGCTATGTCACACCTGGAAAAGACGGAGGGCAGAGTCTCTAAGGACATCCTCTATGGTGAATTAAAGAGGGGTAGATGTTGGGACCGACCTCTACTACGAGTACGATATAAAGATGTGTGCAAGCGGAACATGAATGATACAGTATTGAGGTGGACTCGTGGGGAACAAAATGTCTTGGACCGTGTTGTGTGAGGGGGCAGATCAGGAAGGGATTGAGAATGAAGGAAGGAAATGAATGCAGAAAGGATGAGTGCTGAGTGTGTAAGAAGAAACAGAGTAAACACAAAAGCTGTCAACAGAGGTCCTGAAATCCCATGCTGGAATTGTGGAAGACTTTTCTTAATGCGGGCAGGTCTTGCTAGTCACACTCGCCAGTAGCCACGGGCTATGAGTCCCATGCATTTCATAGAGCAATATAAAACTATCGTCTTACCCCTCAACATTTGAATTCTGTAGGACTAACATCTCAAGGATGAGAATCAAACAGATACAAATCCAAGAAACGCCATCCAGCAGTATATGTAGAAGAGTTACACTGGAGCACTACAAAACGATTACGAACTAAACCTGTAGTTCCGTGTGGGCAAATTCTGGCGCGATAGTTGTAATTATTTTCCAGCTTACTCAGTCTACATCAGTAAATTTGTGTTAATCTTTTTCTGCGACCAGGTTCATATGTTCTTTTCAGCTCAGTTTTTTGCTAACTCTATTTTAGGGATGTTCATAAATGCTAGCTGCCATGTTACTTAGTAAAACCTCGTTCACACCAATTCTAAGAGACACAAATATTGAGCTCGTGTTAAACATGATGCTAGCCGGTGACGAATAACACTATGTTTATTTAAGAATCAACATCACACCACTCAGGACACTCCCATAAGCGATCCGTCCCCATCTTCAGCAGCAGACTGTGAGTCAGTTACAACTGTGACATACGTGTACAGCTGATTAATAATAACTAATAGCAACAGTAAATCCCTACTGGCACTAACATTTTGTTTATGTTAACCAAATGTTTACCTTAAGCAAGTTTCGCGTTAACCAGGTTATACTGTAGCTTCCCTCCACCCTAATCATCTGACGCCTCCTTTTTCGACTTCCTCTACCTTCTTCTCTTCCTTTCACCTCTTGCTTGCCCTGTTTCTCCTCCTCTGCCAGTTTCCCTTATTTCTCCCTCCCATCAGTCAACCATCCTTCTTCCTGCTCTGCTTTCCTAAGATGTCCTTTACTGACATAAGAAGAATGCTAGGAGGTTTTGAATATAAGACAGCCTATGTATTTTATTTTATGAATATGGTCCCTTCGTACGCACCTATTTCTCGCCTGTGTGTCTCTCATTTATTCGTTGACCTTCTCATTGTTTCCCCTAAGTAAACATATATTCTTACTCAACCCTTAACTATTGATGGAATTCACTTATATTAAAGTTTTCGGTCAGACTTTCTAAGATCGTTATGTTCGCACCTATTTCTCGTCTGTGTCCCTCTCCTTTTTTCGTTGACTTTCTCATTATTTCCCCCTCAGAAAAAATTTATTCTAATTCAACCCTTGAATTTTGATGGAAATTCATTTAGTTGAAAGTTTTTGGTCGGATTTTAGGGTCTTTATGTTCTTTTATATACCTAATGAAGTGAAGTAAAAAAGACATATGCACTTCACATTCTACAATCTAAATACCAGACTTTCTATATTTCAGACTGTTGACATTCAACACTGTATACTGTCTATATTTTATTCTATCCACACTTTCCACATGGGAGTCGCCGTGGCGGAGCGGCTAGACGCTCACCGCGGATCGGAAGGTCGTGGGTTCGCTCCCTGGTGGAGCCGGACTTTTTTCAGCCTTGAGTGCAGTTTGGGAAGCAAAGGCGGCCGGCATGATGCTGACCACATCACCCATCTTCTACCGATGGTCTATAAAATATAGGTCTAGCCCTATATGCCCTATACGCCTAAAGGCGTGAAAAAGGGTCTTTTACTTTTTTCCCCTTTTTTTTTAACTTTCCACATTCTTCAATTATTACACTGTATATTTTCCCCATTTTGCAAATTTCATACCTTACACACTGTACATTTTCCACAATCCACCTTCCACATTTCCCACATTCTTCATATTTTATACTTTCCAAATTCTATACATTCCACACTTTTTCACATTTTGCACTGTGTTTCTTCTTCTTCTTAGCGTTCACCAGCTGTACACTCCAGCGAAAAAAAAATTGTTGCTCGTTCTCTTTTGGACTTCGGTTTTGTTCGAGAACTTGGCATTTTGAGTGCGAATTCGTTTCTACAGATCTGGCTTATTTTGTAAGCAGGTTGTTGGTTCCTCGCCCTTTTAGTCATATACTCCAGCTTCAAAAGAAAACCCCTAGTTGGTCGTTTTTACGAATCGCTTGTTAGAGAGGCAGTATGTATATACCCACCCCCCGCTTCCCCCCTTTTTTTACTATGGGGAGCCGAAACATATTACAATTTTCAGAATTTCCATATTCTCATACCTGTACTATTCCACCAGTCTGAGAGCCCACCCTCATATGTAGAAGCCACACCAAGCCATACACATAGGGCAATGATCGTTCCTCCGATAGTGCCTGATATCATGCCCTCGCAGGTAAGTCTCTCCCAGAACATAGTCAGTGTGATTGGAATGACCGCTGACCCGTTTAGAATGCCCATGAAAAGATAGACCCAACCCAGACTGGCCTGTAGATGTACATACACACATACAAATATTAGTAAATAAAACGTACATAAAGACACACCATACTTGGTCATTAAATTGCAAGAGACGATCATGGACACTGAGATATGGAAAAAGCATACATTACAACAGTTCCTCTGTGCTTGGTCTTCGAAGGCTCCGATGGCTAGGTTACACTTGAAAGGAAGGATGGTAGTGTTGCTTGGGTAATCCTCCATGGTAAATTACAGATGGGAAGCAGAATTTGAGACAGCCGCCCTGGTGTTGCAGCTAGACGATCGCCTGCAGATCAAATGGTCGTGGCTTCGGGTCCTAACGGAGTCTGACATTTTCTCTCAGATCGACCTAGCCTTGAGAGGGTACCAAGTTCATTCCTGTGAAGTAAAGATGACCGACGTGATGCTGACCACATCATCCACCCAGTGCCGATTGGTCTAAAAAAATTTAGTTTTAGCCCAATTTGCCCAATACGCTTAAAGGCCTCGAAAAGGGTCCTTTACTTTACTTATTTTACTTTAGAAGATGTTGAAGTCGACATCCAATACGATGTAAAGAAATGTGCTAGTTGCACCACATGAATGGTATAGGTATTAGGATAGAATCGTGAAAGCCCGATTTCATGGGCCGTGTTGCATGGTGGGAGTGGGACAGCTAAAACGGGGTTGGAACAGAGACATAGAAAAATACAATATTGCAGACCGGTTAAGGGCTGAGGGACGATCGATTAGTTTGGCTCCTCCGGGCTACTACCTTAAAGTTTACCATAGAAGCCTAGGGGAATTTTAAAATCGCAGTCTGGAGGGACCCTGTTTCATCTCCAGAGAAGTTATAATTACACCAGCCCGGTTTAACCTGCAGTCATAGCATGGGTACCAGGAAACTTCTGAAAAAGTTAAGACATCTAGCAAGATACTGAACATATCACATCCAGGGAAGATTGGTGTACACAAATATGGGTCTATCACCAGAAGAGTGAAAAGCGAATATTAGTAGTCTGCCAGCGATGCGTATTATTACACCCAAGCCAACTCCACCTGCAAGAGGTGCACAGATGTAAAATTGCAAAAGACCCTTTCCCAGCATTGCTACAGCTGGCATAGGGTGTTCGGTGCATACTTCTCCTTCTCCTCCTTCTTCTTTTTCTTCTTCTTCTTCTTTTTCTTCTGCTTCTTCTTCTTCTTCTTCTTCTTCTTCTTCTTCTTCTTCTTCTTCTTCTTCTTCTTCTTCTTCTTCTTCTTCTTCTTCTTCTTCTTCTTCTTCTTCTTCTTCTTCTTCTTTTTCTTCTACTTGTTCTCCACTTCTTTAAGGTTTCGGTCTTGTGTCGAGGGCGATATAAATGTCTGCTTCTTCTTCTTCTTCTTCTTCTTCTTCTTCTTCTTCTTCTTCTTCTTCTTCTTCTTCTTCTTCTTCTTCTTCTTCTTCTTCTTCTTCTTCTTCTTCTTCTTCTTCCTCTTCTTCTTCTTCTTCTTCTTCTTCTTCTCCACTTCTTTACGGTTACGGTCTTGTGTCGAGGGGAATATGAATGTCTGCTTCTTGCTTTTCTTGTCGCTTCGACAATTGACACATCGTGCTGTTGACGAGTTTCTTTGATATTATCTTCCCATCATGTTCTTTGTCGACCTCATGTTCTAGGCCATTCTTCCCCTTTAGCGTATGTCTTATATGCTATGGAGCCGCATGGCATTCTCTCTAAGTTGGCAAACTATTTGATTTTCTTTGAATGTAATTTGATTTGATTTGATTCAAGAACCGACATTATAAGCACTCGGGGCATTTCCATAAGCGCTCCGTCCCCATCTTCAGCAGCCAGCGAAGAGTTCCGATACTAATGGTGCCAGTAGCATTCTGATTAAACGTCCGGCTTGCCTTTTCTCTGAGCCTCAAGTATCTTCCAGAACCTCTCGTCACCCCCAACTGCATCAATCTCACCAGACTGTGGTGATCCATCTGCTCCTCCGAATTGTACACACTCTCCCACAAGACACTAACCACGTCTGCCCTATCATGTATCAGTATTTAATGTAATTTAGAATTTGTTCCATACCGACATGTTCTCTTATGACCTCATTCCTGATTTTAGCTCTCCTAGTCACTCCAGCAGCCAGTCTCAGACATCTCATTTCCATGGTTACTAATTTTTTTTTTTTTTCTGGTTTGTTGTGAGAGACCATGACTGGTACTGGTAGCATAGGGTGGGAAAAAATGCTTTCCTTTGAGATGTTTCTTTGTGCTGATCGGGTTGACTTATGTTCTAAGAGAGTGGACTAGTTAGATGCATTTAGAGTGTGTCCTTCACTTCACCTATCTGCAGTGGGTCCACTGTTATCATATTATTACGTGGTGAGTGTCTTATCTCTTCCCCGAATCCAGTTTTGTTTCACTGACAGTCCTCCAGAATAAAATTAAATTTAAAAAGCCCACAGATTGGTCGTGGCTACAGTTGGTTTGTAGAGGAGGAAATATGGACAGAGCAGACATATTGAATGTGTTGTATTCCAAAGACGCTGAGGCAAAAGGGGTCAGTCAGTGACGATGAACGCTTGTTTGAAATTGGTGTTAAACGAGGATAAGAATTAAGAGACGGATCTGATGTTTGAACAACGGATCAAATCATGACACACGGGTAGTAACTCATAATTGCTCCGTTCTTTCTTCTAATTCAAGTCTGAGTCCAAAGAAGCTCAGCACAGTTCACAGGCTCTGTAGCACAGGCGAGGATCCTGAAATATTTATGGTAGATTTTTATCTCCAAATGTTTACCCGGGCAGCGTTGTTAGGCTGCTCTTTTTGATTTCCAACTGCCAAGAGATTTTTTACGTGCGCAACAATTCACACGGGCCTCCGATCTCACGAGCAAGTCCACGTGAAAAAAATCACAGCCCTTACCGGGGATTAAGCCCGGAACCTTTAGCACTCCAAGGCGGGCACCATGCCTCGAAACCACTCAGTCCTCCCGATTAAGAAACCGATTGCTGGGTAAAGAAAGACGATATGATACTCAACGCCTTCTGGCTACGGTGAGCATGGAGGCACAAAGATGGCTGCTGCATCAGAAGACGACACACGAATAGGTCAGCCTGATGAGCTAGGATGTCGATATCGGTAGAAAACGACACATATTTTTTTTTCCATAACCACTTGCCGCGGGGAATCCAACTCTAGCACATCAAGAACCGGACTGGGAAACGATTCTTCTAACCTCTAAGACACTTCCTTGTTACAAATATCAAAAAAACATTCACCAGCCTCTCACGCTACAAACGAAACAAACCTGAATCGTATAAAGAATAATAGTAAAGGGGATAACAGCCATAGTTGTCCATATAACAGTCCATCTTGTCAGATGTCCGAGATAGTCGTTGTAGACTCGGTAACTTCCATGGCACGGACATCGGTAATCGGGTTTGATAGCTCGTAAACACTCGTTCCTTGCTCTAGAAGACAACAACAAAAACTACGCATGAGATATGCGTTAACAGGCAGTGATCGGCACTCAGGGGTGTAGGCGAAACCTGGATTCTTAGATACCATCAGGGCTACCTAAAAAAGGAGGTCTTTACAAAATTGTGACAAGCTAACCAGCCCCCCCCCCCCCCCTTTCCCAACCTCCCGCACCTCCAACCATGTATCTAAAGATGATGTTTACACTTTTCATGTTATTTCACATATATTATTTATCATCTGCACGTTTATTATTATTATTATTATTATTATTATTATTATTAATATAATTATTATTAGGGTACTTTTTCCTAGAAAAAAAGGTAATTCATACCACGAAATATCATAAACAGAAGCCAGTGCCCAAAAACAAGTGTCCATTACAGTAGCGCTAAAAAACGACGCCTAAAAGAAGATTCTGTAACTCCAGACTATTATTATTAATAAGCTCTCAAACATAGGCCACTAAAACTGACCCCCCTCCCTCGTGCGGCTAGGAACCTCTCTACAGAGCACAAACAAAACATCTACAATACCCCACCCATACGGCCCAAGAATTTTTCCCCTTAACTTTCTTTTTGTGTACTCAGAAATGACATGACTGTCTTACAGTCAAGCTGAAACGTGTGTGGTCACCAGACAGACAGACAAACAGACAATGGGAGGCAGGTTAAGTAACTGGACTTAGAAGTATTGACTGTCAGCTGTCGTTACCACTTCGAGATTAGGCAAGACAAATCGTAAATTCCCTGAAATTGAACCCACATTTCGAATGGTGTTCGCAACGCCCATACCAACGACGCTGAAAAAAATAAGTAATATCTTGATCGAACATCTTTACACAAAAGTTATCAACAACTCGCGTCATTTTTTTTTTTTTAGAAAAACCATAAACAAATACAAGGAACCTTAGGAAGCCTTCATGAGCACACTGCAAAAATCTACAATACTACAAATACGAACAAGAATACAAACTGTTTTACACTTACTCGCAGTACCTGTGAATGACAAATTATGAATTGTCTGTCAAACAGAATATCTGAAACGTGTGTGGATCACCATTCTTAATAATTGATGGCCTCAAAAAATTTGTTTAGAACTTAACGTAAGGTAGTTTCCCACTTTTTGCTTTAGTGTGTCTACAGTGGAGGTTCGCTGTCGATTACTCACTAGGCGTCTTTCGGAATAGGCAAGATAAGAATCCAGTTGGTGTGCATGGCTTCTGAAATCGAACCCGGACTCTTTGAGTCACCACACTGTCGTTCGCTAACTTCCTGGAAAAACGACGCGAGACAGTAAATAAGTACATCATCTGTATTAGGCACTCATCTTCTCCAACAATTGGCGGTGTCTCAACATATCCCACGGTCGCTTTACCATTGGGGGTGGTGTGGGGGCCCGGTTTACCTGGGAGCCAGGGTCTTTTTTGAAAAACAAAAGTTCCCTTTCACAGGTCGTCGCCAGAACAAACCTTCAGATCAGCAGGCAAACGCCTAAAACTGTAGCAAAGCGGAACATCCAACGAAAAGTAGGAGGGTTGAGCGCCACTGTTTTACATTGTTTCTCAGATATTGTATAGAAAAGTAAGTATTGGTGGAATGATGTGGTAAAGCAACGAAAGTGTCTTTTGTTCCTAGGACTTATTTCATAATATTTAACGGCCTCAAAGGTTGCCCCTCTGTTTATTTATAGGAATGACAAGTAGGGGAGTTTCATTTCTTTTTAAATTGTTAGTGTGTCTACAGTGGAGGATCGGTAAAGAAGATATGCTCATTTAAGGCAGTCTTTCGGAATATTATATGATAAGAATCCCAGTTGGTGTGCTTAAACTGTGACAGGCCAAGCAAGCTGGCAGTGGATTATATCTTGCTTGAAAAAACCAAAGAAAATTAATCTAGGTAACACTAACAACCTGACGCTGAATGAAAAACAGGACTAGAGGGAGAGGAGGAGGAAGGCAAGAAAAGGGTCTGTTTTCTTTTTAACACCCCCCCCCCCCCCCCCCAAACATAGGGGTCTAAACTCTGGTACGTTCATGTTTGTAAAACGCGTTCACTGACTTCTAGGCTACTGAATACTTAATAAGAGACTGATAACAAAACAACCTACTTCGTGTCTTGATGACAAGAGGTGCAGAAGGTCATGCTAATGCAAACACACTTGTCTCTTGGGTTTGCCAGTCGTCCCCGACCTCGCCCGCACAGGATACAGCTGTTGGTATCTGTGGTTAACCTATAAGGCTGCCGAGGTATGAAGTTTAGGTTCAATTAATACTTTAACTGACGACGACAATCTGCATTAGTAATTCTAAACTGGCTAAGACCTTCTGACCCTATTTAATGTACAATTAAAACAAAATCTGTCACACCCTTAAAGGTTGTTGCGTATCCTTTACAGGACGTTGCAGAACCGACCCCCAACACCCTATTTCTGTGGTAGGCAAATTTAAACCAAATCTGAGTCACATACTAGGATCTTGTAATATTCATGCTGAAGAACTTATTATAATTTATAAATATTAGAAAGGATTCTAAAGTTGCTGTGTTATTTCCGTAAACTTCTCCTTTCTTCTTCTTCGCGTTCACCTGCTGTAAACTTGGCAGAAACAGAAGGTTGTTCACCCACTTCTGGACTTAAGTCTTATTCCAGAACTAGAGATTTGCGTGCACATTTGTTTTACAGATCTTATTTATTTTTATGCAGACTGTTGGTTCTTCAAATGTCAAGCAAAGGCACTTCGACTTTGAAAGAAACATCGCTAACTACTCCACTTGTTAGATATGCTTGGGGGGGGGGGGGAGAAAGCGCAAGGCTGTGGGTGTATTTTGTTCTTCCACACTGGGGCCACCTAGCGACTTTCAAAGAAACATCGTTATTAACTCGACTTTTTGGACATGCTTGTGTGTGTGTGTGTGGGGGGGGGGGGGGGGGTATTTTGATCTTCTACACTGGGCTATGGAACCTAGGCGGTGATTCTGTAAAATAATATCACTGTGTGTGTGTGTGTGTGTGTGAGAGAGAGAGAGAGAGAGAGAGAGAGAGAGAGAGAGAGAGAGAGAGTGTGTGTGTGTGTGTGTGTGTGTGTCCTTTTTTTTTTCTCTGTTAACATATAAGGCATTCCCAAGTGACCCCCATTAGTAACCAGTCTGTTTTCCTGTATTTGGTATTCCATGTCATTTGACATTCCCTGCTCTTTTGTCCATCTTCAGATTTCCTTAGGTGGTCTACATCTTTGTTTCCTATATTTCGTCCATCGGACAGATCTACATGCCGAAGTGTTGCCAGGCATTCTTCAAACATTCAACTTTTGCTAGGTTTTTTCGCTTGATCCTGTTTTTGTAACAAAGTACTGTTTTCTTACAATAATGGGTTGTCAACCCCTTGACCAGTGCAGAACTCAGTGTGTGAAGATTGTGAAGATAGCGGCAAAAAAATCATTATCATCATCATAAGGATGATGATTTACTTTTTTTTTTTAACTATTCTTTGAAAACCACATCTTTCCAGTTGATACAACAAATGAAGGTAAAGAACGCTTTTCCACGCCTTTAAGCGTATTAGTTATTTAAGGCTAGACTTATATTTTGTAGCCCAATTCGGTACTCAGTGGGTGAGTGGTCAACATCACGCCTTTACTTTCTAGGATTGTACCTAGAACTTATTTAAGGCCGGATCCACCTAGCAGCCAAGATTTTTTTAAAAACAAATAAAAGTTGGCTCTGTCAGGACCTGAACTCACGACCTTGACCCGCAGGCGAGCGTTCTGCAACAAATACTAACCTTCAAATACTGGGCATACATGTCGTAAATAATAATGGAGGCCACAGCCATGACCTCAGCCGAAGCTGTTGACGTCACCGCCAAGAGCACCATGGACAGAATGAGGAGCTCGCCTGTTTTGCCGAGCAGACGATGAGCGACTAACGGTGCCACTAAACCTGCGGAGTTCAAGTTTTAGATACATTTTTTAAAAATAATGCGATCATTGTACATTGATATGTTCATAAATGTACCTTCTTCTCTCCTCTTCTTCCATTAAAACGGCGGTTGGAACGACGTGCTACTCACAACTAGGTTGCGATATCTGCGCCTTTCTGTCCTGCACTTTCGTTTTCACAAATTCTTAATAAGCCGCCTTTCAACGACATGCTTGTTTACCCAAAACACAAAAAAAAAACAGTTGACTGTTTCAGTAATTAGTTTTTCCAAATGTTTTCACCATAGATTATTTATTGTTTCAATGTTTATAAAAGGAGGCTTGTTTCAAGATGTACGTTAAAAAAGAGCACTCTTGGTTCAGTTTTTAGATAATAGACAAAAAACGCGGTTCTTTGTGTTGGATGAACATCTCAGAAATGAGAATCAAACTAAGATGAAGAATCTAGGAAACCCCGTTCAACTGTATAGCCATACAAGGTTATAAACGTTTGCGTGTCATTTACAGGACGTTGCATAAACCAAAACCCAGCATGTTTTAGATTTCACTACACGATTTTGCTATCAGAAATTAGCCGTTGTGACTGCGCCATCGGCTCTCAATACCATTGTCGACACAAGCATAAGGCGATCTGCTGCCAAATCGCTTGCTGCTGGTATAGCACCCCCACCCCGCACCTCTGCCTGTACAGACAGTTTTATTTGGGTACCACAAAACGCCTATGAAGCAACTTTTAGTCCAGTATCGGTGGGTATTATTGTCATTGACAATGAATGTTTCTGAGTTTGCAGCACATTCGTGTTGCTCTCTGACGATTATCTTTACCAAATATTCACTGAAATATTTCTCCAATACGTTTTTACTTTGTGAAGCTTTTATACAGTTATTATTGTTGGTTCTTTTTTTTCCCCCAGACATCACGGTGAAGTGTGTAAACAGTTGCACTCCCATCATGAACGCTTTGTTGACAATGAAGTCAACAAGTCACAAACACCATGTTTTAGACACCTCCCTGCCGTCAGCAACCCCAAACTCTGCACTCTACAGTCTAATGATGTTTGTGGGTTAGGAGCATTACAAGTTCTTCTTTGATGTATAATTGGTTATATATTGGAAACTTCAAATACACTCAAACTGGGTCGGCAGTAAATCTCTGAAACAGATATTGTGAGTGTTTAGGGTGGGAGTGAAATAATAGATCTACGTGTGGAAACCTACTGGAAAACACGTACTGTTTCTGTTTTGTTTTTTTTTTTTTTCTAAAACATTTTTGTTCATTCAATTAACTTCTGTCGAAAAATGATGGAAAAAAAAAAAAACTATTTTGAACAACCAAAAGCGTAATTCAGATGGCGGATTGACTCACACAGGTTAGGGTTGGGGCGGGGGGGGGGGCGGTGGTGAGGAGGGTCATTTACCTTCTATAGGCATGTTAGGAAAAGATCGGACACCAGAACGTGGGGGTGTAATGCCGCATAAACACCTCCAACTCCCCTATTCACCCCTTTCCCCAATACCCCATTCCCACACGACCCTTTTTCTGCATTCATAAGAGGGCTAAGTTGCCCCCTAATCATGTGTAGATGTTTTTTTTTTCCTAATTAAGTCTTTGTTTCATCAGTTCACATTTCTATATTATTATGTTTATTTGCCACTGAGCACATTTCACACGCACAAACACACACACACACACACATTCACTCACTCACACACACACACACCACACACACACACACACACACACACCACACACACACCACACACATATATACATATATATATATATATATATATATATATATATATATATATATATATATATATATATATATATATATGGCAGCCGCAGTGTGTAGCAGTAGGACGATCGTATGCGGATACGAATGGCGTGGGTTCAAATCAGCATCTAGTGGCAATGTTTTTTAAACAAAAAGTTCTTGCTCCTACAAGCTGTAAACTCCGGTGGGAAAGTTTTGGTTGTTTCTCAACATTTGAACTTCAGACTTTTTCCAGAACTTCAGTGTCGCGTGCACATCGGTTTTACATATCTTTCGTTTTTGTATGTAGACTGTTGGTTCCTTCCCTCCCAGGCAGAGGCACTTCTACTTCGAAAGAAACTTCCAGTTAGTAGACTATTGCGACATGCTTGTCGGGAAAACAGTGTGTCTATTCTTATTCCCCCTCCCTACAATGGGGCGCCGGAACCCACAAGGGGGTACGAATTATAAAAATTACTAATCAAACTTAAATAATAACTATAAACTGTATTTTCTTTTTTTTTAAATAATAGTAAAAGTAATGATGTGATTTATATGAAGGTATACGAACATTTTTGTAAAATCATCATAATGCGGCTCGAAACGATTGTAGATAAATGCCTACGAGTGGAACAAGCAAGATTCAGAAAGGGCAGAGGAACAACTGAGCACATCTTCGCCATACGTAACATTTTAGAACAATGCAATGAATGGCAGCGAAGCATTATATAATAATTTTGTGGACTGATAAAGCTTTTGACAGCGTCTATAGAGATAGTCTCTGGAAAATATTACAACATTATGGAATTCCTGAAAAGATAGTCAACATAATGCTTTCTTCTTTAAAGACTTTTCCTGCAGTATACAAAATTACAGTAAAGAGAGGTGTAAGACAGGGATGTGTTATGTCAAATCCTCTTCTTCAACCTTGTGATTGATTGGATACTAAAGAACACAGTACACAAGATATCGAGAGGCATACGATGGACTCCATTTACCATGCTTGAGGAACTTGAGTTTGCAGATGATATAGCACTCCTATCACATAAACATGAACATATACAAGAGAAAAGTAACAGACTACACAGCACAGCAGAAATGGTGGGATTGAGAATAACTACAAGTTAAGCTAAGATCATGACAAACAGTCCAAACCAACAACCAGAGACCACAAATAACACAAATTATCAAAATTTTCTGCACAGATACAATCTCAAACACTAAACTACTTCAAGTCACAAACCAAGAAACTATAGCCAGTATGATAACCAAGAGAAGATGGACATGGCTTGGCCATGTTATGAGAATGAATCCAGATATCCGTGCCAAAACAGCTCTTACATGGATACCAGAGGGAAAGAGAAAAAAGAGGGCGCCAAAAAAACAATATGAAGACGAAATATGGAAAGTGACCTTAGTGCAGGATTTCTGACATGAAAAACTGCACTGAAGATTGCACAGGACAGGAAAACATGGAAAGTCCTCTCTGAAGCCTCATGTGCCACTGGGCATAAATAAGAAGAAACTCCACAGGGGAGCATGTACAGCAGGGGTCTACCAATCATTATTAGGAGTAACCTCTCGTCGACATATGTTTCTGCCCACGAGCTCCTAGACATTTTCAGAGAGTGGGCCCACCTGAGTTCATGAAGCTCAGGGTTGGTTTTTTCTGCTGCACGAATTACCGGATGTTGTTCGGATAGGGACAAGACAAACTGGTGATTTTGCAGAAGGTACTGTGAGATAAGAAGTCGTCGCGGTAGCATAATTAAAGCAGTATGCATACCTGAACGACCGAGCGGCAAGCTTACGATTGATATACCGGACACATGTTGGAGTTTGTTAGCAGGTGGCAGAGGGACTATGGCAGACAATTCAGACACGATGGACTTTCAAGGGATGAGAAATTCTTTTTTTCTAGACACCCGGACCAGCTCACCGAGGCCCGTCCCCTACGTTGTTTCGTTGTTTCGAGAGCCAGCTCGAGGCCCTCTTAGCAACCTCGCCCAGCTGTTTAAGTGTCCGTTTGCGTTCATTACCGCGTAAGCCTAATTCTTTAATCACATTGTAGAGTGAAGTGGCAACGAGACCTCTAGCGCCGACTTCGACGGCGAAGACTCTTACTGTGTATGCTTCGTCCCTCCTCAGACCGACTGCTAAGTCACTGTACTTCTCGAGCTTGTACATATGGCTTTCGTCCATTCGCGACTCATACGGGACTGTCAGTTCAATCAGGCTGAGCTGCCGTTTCTCCGCAGAGTAGAGAACTATGTCAGGTCGCAGGCCGGTCCTCCGGATTAACTCAGGGTACTTTTCATGGCCAGGCAGGTCAGCCGCCAGTGACCAGTCTCTAGCACAGTCTAACACAGATGGAACGTATGCGATTTGTTGAATTTCCATTTGTGAATCTGCCCAGCCTTGAGGAAGCGAATAGGGACGATGGTTGGACTGGCCCTCGCGTTGGCCCTCATCCTGGCCTGGTCCACAACAGCTGCCAACTCTTTTAGCACCTTGTTGTGGCGCCAGGTGTATCGGCCTTGACCTAGGGCTTTTCTGCCTGCGGACAGTACATGTTCTAACGTCTGTTTCGCTCTGCACAGCGGGCATGTCGGGTCGTTAGCCGCACTCCACTTTACCATGTTGACACCAGACGGTAATACATCGTACGCAGAACGAACGATAAAGCTCAGTCGCAGCGAGGTCATTCTCCAGATCTCACCCCATATGAGTACTCTTGGCAATGCGTTCTCCAGGCTGACCAAATGGCCTTGCTGCGACTGTTGGGCTGCTTTCTGGACCCTAACCTCGTTTTCATTGTCCCTAATCTGCTGTAATACCATGTCTCGGCGCTCATTGGCTGTGGCTTGGACCACCAACTGACTTTCCCGTGACCTAGGCCTCGACGGTCGGTTTGAGTGTATCCCATAATCTCTCTCAATTTTAGTGCATTCTGAACAGGTTTGATCGCATCGAGGACTCTCCACTTGACGCCAGTCCTTAGAGCGGGCTGGGCAGCGGTAACATTTGGGTCTGAAGACTCGCGCAAGAGCATGGCGAGTCTTACTTTGCCGACTTTAAACTCTTTGGTTATCGATTTGAACGGGAGTACCAGTTTACCCTGCTTACAATACAGAGACACGTCAGTCTGACAATCCACTTTCGTAAGGGCTGTGTTGATTCTTTTCTCCATCGTCTCCACTACAGTCATCGTCACTTCGTAGACTAACAGCGGCCAGAGGAGCTTTGGAATCAACATGAATTGGAGACACCAGACCTTGAACTTCCCAATCAGCCTGCTTCGCTCGATCGCGAGCAGGTCTGTAGCAAGTGACTCGTGTATTCGCCGGACCTCCGCTCTATCAGATAACTTCGAATCGTAAACGCGACCAAGGCTCTTCACCGGTTCCTCTAGAACCGTGGGGATTTTATTCCTTGCCACCGTAAAACTGGTTGCCGCAACTTTACTTTTTAGGATTTACAGACTCCTCGACTTCTGCGGTTTGAATTGCATACCGCTCCATTGGACCACCGCGTCCAATCTTTTCAGAATCGTACGGGCAGATTCCTCACTGCCCGTGATTATAGTCGTGTCATCCATAAATGCACGTAGTGGCGGCATCCCGTGATCCTCAATTTAAAGGCCCTGTCCGTAGCCGGCCGCCCCGTCTAACATGATCTGCATGGCCATGACGAACAGTATTGGTGAGATCGTACAGCCCATAGCTATCCCAACTTGTAGCTCAGTCCACCTCGTGGTAAACGTCGAGGTAGAGAAGCGCAAAGCGAACTTAGAGAAATATTGCTCGATCATTTCGTTGATCTGTGCCGGTACGTGGAACATGCGAAGGGCTCGCCACAGTGGCTTATGGGGAACTGCCCCGTAGGCGTTGGCTAGGTCCAACCATATAACGTGCATTTGGTTCTCTCATGCTTGGCCCTCTGGATAGACTCCCAAATCATGGTCACGTGTTCAAGGCCCCAGGAACGCCCGGGATACTATCCTTTTGAACACTCGTATCGATGTACTTGTTCGCCATCAGATACTGTGTGAGCCGGCGAGCCATGACCGAGAAGAATATTTTACCCTCAACGTTCAACAGCGAGATAGGCCTGAATTGGGAAAGACTCTTCGAGTCCTGCTCTTTGGGAATGTAGACTCCGTTGGCCTTTAGCCACTTAGGACATATGTGTTTTCGGCTCCACGCTTGTCTCAACAAGCCGTGAAGCATTCGTAGGACTTTCGGACAACGATTGTAAAGAACGTACGGAACACCATTCGGACCTGGAGCAGACTTGCCCTGGCTATTATCACGATTTTCTCAACCTCAGACCAAAAGGGAGGTATCACTATAAATGAAAACTTCGGCAACTCAGGCTGCTTGAGGCCGCTAAGGATCTCTGGATTGTTATCGAGAGGCTCATTCCTCTTCTTGTCAGAGTACATTTTGCGTAAATGTGACTCAAGCTCCTCTTTACTGACCACCAGAGTCCCAGACTTCGGTTGCTCGAACAGACCTCGGGCAAACTGGAACGGGTCCCTAAAGAATAGCTCTCGCTCCCTTTTGGTTCTCCTTCTGTTGTTACAGAAACGCTCAGTGCGACAGAGGGCACTGTGTCTGTTCTATAAATGCAACCAGACTTCATGCAGCCCCTTCCGTTCGCTGCCGGTAGCGGCTTTGAACCGTTTTCTGAGGGCATTCTTGTCTGCCCGACTATTCTGCCTGACGCCTGGCGGCGCCTTTTCCACTGTCCCGAACTCCCGGGAACAGTGCTCGTATATTACATCACAAAACTTTGTAAGCTTGTCTCCTAATGACTACTTTTTTTCAACCATGAATTAGTTTCTCACATAATGTACCTTCTAACTTGCACCACGACACCTTATCGCTCGCAGGTGGAAACCTGATCTTGGAACGCACTTCCTCGGGAATCATCAAAAGTGCGCCTCCACAGTCGACATCATGGGAATCTCCGGGCGAGTGGGGTACACCTTGCCCGTCGTTCCCTAACGACTCAGAAACTACCACAGGAGTAGTAGTTTTGCGACGGCGTTTACTGCGTGGAGCACCCTCGCATTTCATCCTTCCGGCATGAGTTCTCAGACCATGCAACCCCGTGAAGCTTTTTCCGCATGTACAGAGCCAACCCGGACGTTGGGCAAATGTCGGAGTCCGGGAGCTAGCAGGGTCGTTACCGTTTGTATCAAGTAGATTGGGTCCATCATTCTCCCCCTCTTTCGATGGACCCTGGGGGCATACTTCAGGCATAAAGAGAATTGATGATGACTGATACGAAAAACCTTCCTTCTCATCTTAGCCATCTAAGACTTCTGCCACTGAGTAAACTTTTAACTTTTAACAAAGCTAAATTTATTCATAAAATTGCTGCCCAATTTGTGACCCTTTGAATATAAAGTTCGTTCGTTCGTTTGGTCATTCGTTTAGATTCTTAGTCACAAGTCAATGGAATAATTTCCGAGGACTTGGTTTGGGTTTAGCATATTTAAATGTGGAACGTGTCTGTGGCTCATCACCGAAGCAATGACGTTCTTGGCGGACGTAGAGTAGGGACTAGACAAATATTTCTACGAATAGATTACTTACCTTCATTAACCTCGGCGTCACTAAGAAGTCCTTGACCCTGCTCAGCGCAGAGAGCCACATAGCCTAACCCCATGGCTGTAGAAAAGGAGAAGGGGATGGCGAACCAGGCGAAACCGCCAAGAAGAAATCCTATAACACCCTGCTTGGGTTTTGCGGCTACGGCACTCTGCCAGTAGGACTGGTCGACAAAGACTGCACCGAAGTTGCCTGCCGAAGAAGGAAAAAGTGCAGACATTGTGAATGGAAATGAATGTATAGGATGTGCGACTTTTGATTCGATTGAATCTCAATAATCAGACTTCATCATCATCATCATCATTCTGTTGTACTATTATATGTCATGCAGGTCTCGCCGTCTATTGCTCAATTCCGTTCTATCCTGTGTAATCCTTTCGATATCGGTCCAGTACATTTGATTTCTCTCCTCAACGCTCGCTTTTCTGTTGGAAGTCATGGCTTCCTCAGTCCTGTCATTTTCCATGTTAGTGCCTCTGGTGATTCTTTGCTCTTTTTTCCCCCCTTAAGATGAATCCACTATAGAGTCATCTACTTTGTCTTATAATGGTTATTACCAGTTGTTGCCCAGACAATTCCCTTTTTTCCCCACCCTGAATTCAGCCATGTTATATTATCAGACACATAAAGTCACGTGGGGAGCCTCGGTAGTTTAGTGGCTAGACGCTCGCCTGCAAGCCCGAAAGTCCTGAGTTCGAATTCGCATTGAGTCGGATTGCATATTTTTTTATTGACCTTTGCTTCCAGGTCGATCCAGCCTAAAACTGGTACTTGTAATAATCTGAGACGCTAAATCTGCCTGCGTCATGTTGACAAAATCACCCACCCTGTGTCGATTCGTTTATAATATATGAGTCTGACATCATACGCACGATGCGTACAGGCGTGAAAAGGGTCTTTTACTTTTAAACAAAGTAATTTTGTTTGCCTCTCTCGTGTGTTCTTTGCATGTTGTTTTTCGCGCCTCTCTGTAATGAATAATTTTCTCACTGTTAACAAATGTTCTCATCATTCGGACATGAGGTTAAATACTACGCATAAATTATGTGCTTGAATTTAGTTGAATGGTATCAAGTATGAAATATAATGTTTGCATGAACGGATCAAGTAATGAATAACTCCAGGCAAGCACGCAAGTTGGCTGAAGTGTACCAGATGAGAAAAGCCTAAATTGTGTGTGGAACCCGAGAGAGAAATTAGCTTTTTAAATTTGAAACGAATGAGAACATTTGACTTTGTTTTCGTCTTTGAGAAAGCATGGTCGTATGGTACTTGAGGAATGAGAAGTGAGAATCTTCAGGATAAATTATTGTTAGATCGAGCAGCCGACCTGGACAGAAAAACCTAACTATCCAGTTCTGAACAAATGGTTGAGTTGGCGTTTATTATGAGAGGAGTTTTTCTGCTCAAATGTACATTTGTTAGCTCTCTACGTGTCCATAGTTGGAATTGCTGTGACTGGTCATCCTGTGAGGGTAACGCTAATATTTTTTTTTCTTGTGTATGTGGCCGATCGGTCTACCCTAGACGCTTATACCTCCGGGGCATCGTCAGAGGTGAACAGTTGTTGGAACCAATAAACATTTCGTAGCAACTATGTGACGTTCCCAAAGTTTCTTGTTCATGTTCAAGATTATGCTGAACTATCTGCCAGTATGCCCGAGTAGCCTGTATGCCAACAAAGCCCGAGGAGAATCGTTGCACTCAATGTGTCTATTATTTCCTGTCTCTCTGTTTTCGTCTGAACCCTTTCTTGTTCCCTCTTATTCTCTCTCCCTCACTCTGCTTGTATATCTTCCTCTGTGTGTGTGTGTGCGTGTGTGTGTGTGTGTCGTTGTCTTTCCTTGTCTTTTGATTTTGAAACCACTCCGTGATGCTGGATACCCTCGGACAACGTCTCAAACCAAACTTATGTTTTGAAGCACTGCCACGAACTCCAATGTCTCCTACGTAAAGTCACAAAATGGGTTTTTGTATATCTCTTCTTGTTTTTTGTTTTTTGTTTTTTTTTTTTTTTTTTCAGTGGTCCATGGAGTTTTATTTCAAGTGTTGTTGTTTTGAGCCAAAAGTACAACAAAAGTCATGCACAGAAACATTTTACGCCATTCCTAAGCATTGGGCATATAGTGCTAGAGCGGCACTCGGTTGGTGATGTGGTCAGCACAACATAGGCCACCTTTAATCCCAAGACATTACCTAGTGCCTATTTAAGGTTTGGAGCCAAGATAAAAAAAATTATAATATGGCACGAGAGAAGGACAGACAGACAGACAGACAGACAGACAGACAGACAGACAGACAGACAGACAGACAGACAGACAGACAGACAGACAGACAGACAGACAGACAGACAGACAGACAGACAGACAGACAGACAGACAGACAGACAGACAGACAGACAGACAGACAGACAGACAGACAGGCAGACAGGCAGGCAGGCAGGCAGGCAGGCAGGCAGGCAGGCAGGCAGGCAGGCAGGCAGGGAGGCAGGCAGACAGACAGAACAATAAACACATACCCACAAGATTAATGAGACCAAACATGAGGCCCTGGTCGGAGACCAAGGTGAGATAACTGTTGCCCTTGTTTCCATCTGGGCCTTTTGCACAAGAGATGAAGTCGAAGAGTTTGTCCGCACTTCCTAGGAATAGTCATGTTAATGAAAGTTACATAAACGAATGGTGAGGTCTTGTGACATTGGGGCCCATTTAGGTCTCAATAAAAACAAATGTAAAGGAACCTATCTATCTATCTTCTTCTACCCCACCAGGACATCACACAAGCGATTAACACCTGATGACACAAAGTGCCACCATGTGGATGAGGATCACCCGGGAAGAGGTCCCAGAAACCGCGTTCAGCTATCAGACCATATATGTGGCCGGACTATATTGCGGCCCCTAACAAGAACCAGAGTAGGGCTTCAAATATTTATATATATAAAGAGAGAGAGAGAGAGAGAGAGAGAGAGAGAGAGAGAGACAGAGAGAGAGACAGAGACAGAGAGGCTACTTTTCGTAATTCCAATGTGCTGGATCAATCCTAATTGCGAGCGATTAACAGCAGACCGCCTTGCATTGGTATCGAAATGGTGTTGGAGAGCTGACCATGCGTTAGGCAATGACAAACTACTGAACATATAATTGCCGGGACAAAAAATGTCGAAATTTGCTCTGCAACGTCATGTGAAGGATATTCAACTAACTATACATATATATATATATATATATATATATATATATATATATATATATATATATATATATATATATGGACTGTACCGAATATTCGCTTCGTATTCGCGTCGGGGCCGAATAGTGGACCTATTGACTATTCGATATTCGGCCGAATAGTTGCGGTCGGGCCGAATACGAATAGTAGTTACCTTACACCGGCTTCTGCATACACAGCCCTAATGCTGACAACATGGAGCGATTGGTTTTATTGAAAGCTAATGCACCTTTCCTGCATCAACTAAGCTGTCAGTGACAATTTCCAAGTTTAGTTACTTGTTATAATACTTAGGATTCTTTTATTCCTAGTTATTAGTTACCACAGACTGGCTAAAGGATGCAAAACATTAAATCTTTTTAAATGTTTAATATTCTGTACCAATACTAACTAGACATGAACAGAATACAAACTTCGCCCACATCTAAGTCGACAATATGAAAATCAAACGAACGAAAACATATAAGTACTTGGATGCAAACTTCAACTGCTCCAACATGCTGAGAGAAGAAATGCAATCTAGAAATAAAGTAAACTATGCCCTTCAACATCTGCTAAAGTCAAAGTGCTGTCTCGCAACACCAAGATCAAAATATATAAAACGTCGATAAGACCAGTCGTTTTACATGGCTCTGAAACTTAAAGTAGAAATAAAAGAGATGAGGCCTTATTTCATGTTTTCGAAAACAGTCTTACGACAAATATTTGGACCCATCAAAGATGCTAACAGCGGGGAATGGAGAGTGAGAAGCAACAACGTAACACATAATCTGTTTAAATCACCATTGATCCCTGGCATCATAAGAGCTTACAGACTAAAATGGTTGGGCATATTGAAAGAATGTCAGAAGACAAAGAAGTAAAACTGTATACATCTGAGAGAGGAATGGGCGTAGACCACGAGGCAGACAAAAAATAAGTTCGATAGATATTGTCCACACAGACCTGCAAACAACTGGTGTCACAAATTGTGAAGAAAAGGCCAGCCAGCGAGATCAGTTGAGACGATTGATATCTGCAGTAGTAAACCTCAAGGGCTCAGAATGATAAATAAGAAGATAACTTTTCTGTGCTACTTTATGTGAAGTAAAAGTTCAGCTTACATTTGATATATGAATGAGTTGTTTTTTTTTAGATATATTTTATAGACTATACACTATTCTTATTCGTTTTCGTATTCGTATTCGGCCGAATAGTTGGTCCCGTTATTCGTATTCCGCCGAATAGTGAAAATCACTATTCGGTACAGCCCTAATATATATATATATATAAACTTAACACGTAAACAAGGTTCATGCATATTGCCGCCTCATTCTACCTATAAAGTATACGGGGAGTGAGCACTCCCCCCCCCCTCCCCTTTCCTTTCCCCACTCTATGTTTTCATTCTACCGGTGTCTCTAGTTGAAATCACATTATGATAGATACAAATAATAATGAAAATAATTTTGCAACTTACATAGAAGGATGTGGATGCATAGCATCAACAAACATAGCATGTAATGATGAGATCTGCACACATATAGATATCAAGAACAACGAAGATTTTATTGCAAGTAACACATAAGATGATAACAGCTCCATCTTCTACATTAACTGCTTTGTCGACTGGCGTAGGCGATACCGGTCTCCATAATCTGAGATCTTTAACAGCATGTATCAGTTCGTGTGCTGACACCCTGCCTGTCAGGGCGAAAGGCTGTCCAGAATCTTCTCGCGTTGTCTTCCTCTGTTACGTTTTCCACAGTCCTTTCCATGGTTCACAAAATGTTGCAGTTTCATTCTTTTCATAATATGACCCAACAAAATTATGACCATTTCTTCTGATGATTGTGACAACTTGTCTTCCAGCTTTGTAACAAACTAAAATAAAAATAAAAATGGATCAGCAAATTATGTACTGAACAAAGAATGTAACTTCTAACCAAATATAAGTTAAAAGTCAACGGTTTTTAACAAAATAAGTTGGCACCTTTTGGTGCATTTTGTTAACTTCTCAAAAACAAATGGTACTATTTCCCAAATAATGTCGGCATCCCTGTTCTTTAATTAGCTTACGAAATCTGTCTTGCTGACGAGTGTAACAGTTTAGTAAATCCCAGTGGGCCCTCGTTCGAGATACAGAGTCTCGTTATCTGTGCAGTAATACATTTATTACCACATAATGATGGGAACCAGCTAATCTGTCAGCTTGTTAATTTTCAAACACACAAATTAATAGTTTGCTCATTTAACTAACATATGCATTATGTAGCATATCTTTTACCAAACATCGATCTTATCACGGCCTATCTGGAAGTAACCGGGTCTCCCACCGCTTTTCCGTCTTGTGCCATTTCATTTTAAAGCAGTCACTTATTTCATATGTCCATCTTCGTGCTGGTAGGCCCCTGCCCCTCATTCCCGGTACCATGCCTTCTGCATTTATATTTTTCCAAATCTGTCATGGCGCTTGATATCACCAAAATATTTTAGCTTCTGAGACTGGATGTTGTTTATTAGCCAATCTTCCTTGATGTGTAAATCTTTTAAAATGTATATATTTGTTTTCTTCTTTGTCCACGGTATTCTTAGAATCTTTCGCATTTCGGTTCAAATCTAACAAACGTATTAGATCCTGAATGTTATCACTCACCCAAAACGTTGCTGCTGTCACCGTAGTCCTCATAAACGTTGAAAATGAAGATAAGGATAATGACGTACAACATGACAGTGGTAAAGTAGCTGACGTAGAAGGTGGCTCCCAGCCCTCCGATGAAGGTGTAGCCTCCGATGATGGCGGCCACGAGGGTGGTTGCGTACTCGACGCTGATGACTTTTACCAGAGCCTTAATCACAGCGGAGCCACCTATTGTGGGTCAGAGGTTAGTGTGTTCAATTTGTACATACATATGTCAACACACATACATATACTTATATCTATCTTCATGCTTCCTACACATACACATCCATCCACACACACCTATACACACACACACATACAAACACACACACACACTTTCATTCATACAGACATACAGATATTACGTATCGACTGCAAACGCACATGCACGCACGTACATGCGTTCCCATTTATTCATACATCCACACACATACACACAAACATACACACACACACACACTCAGGAAGTTGAAGTTCGAACAGACATGCCGTTAGAAAGACAGGCGGACACGCATGCAGACAGGCATACAAACTGGCTGACTGATAATCTAGCAGCAAATAGCCATTCAGACAGTCAGGCAATTAGACACTTTCAGTGATACTAAAATACAGATAGACACTCAAAAACAGCTAAATACACACACAATTATTTATACAAACACATACACACAGTCAGACAAATCGACATGCAGGCAGAGCAACAGGCTGTCAGTGAGACAATCGGAGGTAGTTAATAATATTGAAAGAGAAAATTCGTTACCTAGCAGTGCCATCGATGCAGTCAGATCAACAGGCATTCAGTCAGACAATCAGAGGCAATAATAAACAACTCTGAGACACCTACCCAACATTAACATGGCGGTGACAACAATATTGGTTGTTAACGCGTAGCAGCAGAAAACAATATGACTGCGCCTCCCGAATCGGGCCTTGATCACTTGCAAGAAAGTTTTAGCCCCTGGAGCTCGTGTCTTTAGCTGAACGGCCAACATGGAAAACAGCATGATCTGCAATGTGAAGTTGATGATGACTGACGGTTACAATCAAATAAACAAAACAATAGCTACGTTTTGCGACAATGTATTCGGGGAGAGGGGGAGGGGGGCTCTAAAGACGTACTAAGATATCGTCTTTTTCTTCATTTCGTACTCCCTCTCAGCAGTTGTCTTACTTACTATTTTCCCGTCCTTGTAAGGACGAAATTTTTCGTTATTTGAAGCCCTACTCTGGCTCTTGTCAGGAGCGGCAATATAACCTGGCCATAAATATGGCCTAAAGGCTGAACGCGGTTTCTGGGACCTCTCCACGGTGATCATCACCCACATGGTGGCACATTGTGTCATCGTGTGTTTAACGCTTGTGTGATGTACTGGTGGGGTAGAAAGTCAGTCAAGAAGTCAGCAGTTTTCAGATGAGAAAGCCACCGGTTTATGTTTTCAGCTTTTCCATACAGCTTGGTTCCCTTTGAAATGCCAAACGATCAAACCTGACATCTCTCTACTACAAGCAGAGAGCACGTCTTTAGCCCATGTTCAGTATTCTATGGTGCTATCCCTATGGTCAAAGTTGTGAACCCCCAATCTTGGATTTTTTTGTAAACATGCTATGTTGCATCCAGCACGCATTCTAAATATGATGATCTGTTTGTTTGGTGTGAGGATGTTGATTAGATCTTCAGGATTATTCCCTGGATAGGAAGTGTTCCAATGGGTTCTAATAGCTGCCTTCATCTGTATGGTTGGGTTTTTTTTTTCATCTTCGTAAATGCATCTTGTATTTGACCGTTCTGCATGATTTCCAATTTTTTTTCTTAGTAATCGTTCGCATTTCCCCTATTTTTGCAGTGGTATGTGATCCTAAAGGCGTGGAGAAGGGTTCTTGACTACTTGTATTGTTAATGTGATCTACTGAGGCACAGTCTGTCTGGTTAGCGGACCCATTTGATTTAGCCTAGATCTAAGCTTGCTGAACTGTATTTGCTTATAGCTTTCTATTGCTTGCGTTACTGAGCGAGCATCTGTCAAAATAATCCCGTCTGACACAGAGCTGTTTTCATCGAGTAATATAGATACTGCCTCCTCCAGCTCCTCAGCCTCTGCTTTGACTGACTGACTGACTTTCTACCCCACCAGGACATCACACAAACGATTAACACCCGATGACACAAAGTGCCACCATGTGGATGAAGATTACCGTAGAGATGTCTCAGGAACCCCGTTTTGACAACTGGCCATATTTATGGCCTGCCTATATTGCGGCCCCTGGAAAAAGCCAGGGTGGAGCTTCAAATAACAAAAAATTTCGTCCTGAAAAGGATGTAAAGATTATTGTCAGCCTCTGCTTTGTAATTGGTGGAGTGTTTCTCTCTAGGGAAACTGCAGTAGTTTATGGCACAAATGTTCCATTCAAGTAATTTCCTATTCCAGAACTAGAGCTTTGAGTGTACATCCGTTTAACAGATGCTGCTATTTTTAAACATACTGCTAGTTCCCGCGCCTTTCAGGCAGATATACCCTAATTAGTCGACTCTTACGAAATACTTGCTGAGGGAAGTGGTTCGTTCCCTTTGCCCTTATAATGGGGTTCTGCCAAGTTTACCCTTTAGACTCAAAGAGTATGCTCATGAGGATAGAGAAGGGCTGTGTCCAGAGACAATGACTGCAATCTCTAAAGAGGTCGTGGTTGACACATCATTTTTCAGACGTGCAAGGAAATGAGCAAGCTGATCGGCTTGCAGGTAAAAGCTACTATGGAGGGCGGACAAGCAATGGACCATGCTGATATTCTGAATGCTCTACAAGAAGTAAGCCGTTTGCGAGAACCAGGTGATGTCTTTAAATTTGCAGTTATGACCAGAATACCCGCCGCGGGATTTACTAAAGTGGTGATCCGAGCATTATTGAACTGATTGATTTGATTTGCAATTAGGACATTTATCGACTAACTAGCTAACTTACCCTTAAAAGGGCGCTTAGTGTGTTGTGCTGTGGTTTATAACTGAATTGTAAAATCTGCGCCTTTCGGCCCATTAATCCGATTTCGGCAAAACTGTTTTAATTAGTCGCCTTTTACGACCTGTTTGCCAAGAGGCAGTGGGTAGTTCTCCCCTCCCCATCCAAGGAGGTGCTTAGAGCCTACATATGGGAAAACCTTATTGAACCGCTAAGTGTTGAATTAACAGTTGCCAAAGAGAAGATTAATTTAAAAACTGTGATTTAAGAAAGTCACTTCAAAAATTTTGACAGCATAGAATTCTGTTTTTAAATTGAACTATTTCGTAAAGTACCGTTTTTAATCACAATTTGTCATCGTTTCGCATATATTTTTTTTTTCAATTTAAAGCGAAAATTAATTCCATTTTCTGAATCGTAATTCAAGTGTGAATGTTATATTCTGCTGGTATTCACACAGGTGCTTCTACAAGAAGGCTGTAAAGTGAGGTTATTTGGACAGCTAGCTTTTAATATAAACTAAAAATTATAAATTTTTGGACAAGGAGAAAATCAACCAGAATGAGGAACATAACAAGTCAGTTTTCCAGTAAATCAGTCATAAATAACCAAATAAGTGATGCGACTAAAGAGCTCTCAAGAACATATGAAAACAGGGATAATTTTCTAACATTAAAATATTTAGAAATTGCTAGACGTAATCAAGTGCTTGATGGACCTATTAGGATAATATAAAGTTGAAATTTAAAGAATAAATGTTTGAATAATCAAGTATTGACATAGTGCACTCGTCACATCTTTACACATGCTTAGTCTCCCTTCTCAGTAGACAACGAAGAGTTTCCACTCTATTAATGCCAAATTACAACCTGCATTGAATATTATTCAGAATCTCTGCTCACCACCCCCCACCCCCTCACCACCTTCTCCTCCTTTTCGGAGTTTGTGTTGGCTGTGTCCACTTGATCCCGGAGAGCCTTTACAATTACCGCTATATCATAAAGCAGATCACCACCCTTGGGGCAATAGCAGTCAGTTCATCAGCCTCCTCTTTACCCGGACATCCTAATACCCTGGACAAAAAATGTATGATAAATATAGACTAATCATTTTTTTTTTAAAATTATAATTGTCTTGAAAAGTTATGCTTTAAAAATCCAAAACTTACTGGATTAGAAGAGTGATTGAAGCGTTTGCTTACTAAAGATGTTGTCGGGGTTTCGTCTTCTTCTTCTTCGCGTTCACCAGCTGTAAACTCTGGCGGCAAGTTATGGTTGTTCATCCACTTCTGAACTGCAGTTCTGTTCCAAAACCTGAGTGTTGCGTGTGCATCCGTTTTACAGATCTGACTGATTTGTATGCAGTCTGCTGGTTCCTTGCCTCTCATGCACATGCACTCCGACTTTGAAGGAAACTCCCAAGTAGTCGACATGCTTTTGGGTAGGCAGTGGGTCTACTCTTGTTTTCCTTATAACAAGACCCGGAATCCACATGGAGGGTGGGAGTTTAAGTCTAATAAATCTGAGATATAACACACTGACTTTTTCATTTGGTAAAATAATGATAGCAACTTTATACATCTCCGATACACTCAGGTATATTGTTGTTGCTAAACAATAATTAGAAAGTAACCAAACACTTTACAACATTGTAGAAAACATAATAAGCTGACGACAGAGAAACTGTCACGTTTCTTTTAAGTGTACTATGCAAATATTGTTAAAATCCCCGGACCACTTAAAATAAAATTAATATAATTGTTGTAATTGGCTGACACTGCTAAAAAATTACTGATTACTTCCAAGTATTTGTGAATTAATGACAAGCCACTATTATTTAGAGGAACAAGTCTTGAAGAAAGAAATATTAAATCTTGTAGACAGTTTTTAAACATCTGCATACAAATTTAGACGTCAAATTGAAAGTTTTCTAAAATAGCTGCCTCTGAATTTATTAGTATCTCTGCTGAGCAGTTTTCTAACCGGTGCTTGTTCAACCCAGTGTTAAAAATCTTTCATAAATGAACATATGAACTATTGATGTCATTTCTGCTTCTGCTGCTCTTCTTTTGCTGCTATTGCTATGATGCTGCTGCTCTTTCTTCTTATTCTTCTTCTTCTTATTATTCTTCTTCTTCTTCTTCTTCTTCTTCTTCTTCTTCTTCTTCTTCTTCTTCTTCTTCTTCTTCTTCTTCTTCTTCTTCTTCTTCTTCTTCTTCTTCTTCTTCTTCTTCTTCTTCTTCTTCTTCTTCTTCTTCTTCTTCTTTTCTTCTCCCCCTGCTTTCATACTCTATGGAACCTAGGCTCTTAACTATGTTCCACAAAGCATTTTGTTTACATCCTAATGATATATAATATTTTATAGTCTCAGCTGTTGGACGGAATCAAGCTATCTAATTTGAGATCAACCTTTCGTAGTCACCATTTACGACATGCATGGCAGTGTTACAATGGTTTGCTTCTCTTGTGGGCTCCAGTAACACTTTAGGCTTTGCTAGTTGCCTCTAGTTATAATGAATATTTTACTGTTTTCTTGCTGTTTTTTTTGTTTTTTTTCTAATCATTTTTTTTTTTTTTTGCAGTTTTTGTGCAAGTTGGATGTGTGTTGGGTTTGTGTTAAATTTGTATGGGTTTGTGTTGGGTATATGTTGGTTTTTATTTTGTTGAGTTTGTGTTGGATTAGTGGTGGATTTGTCTGCAATGTTTGTGTCGTTTGTGTTGGGTTTGTGTTGGGGTTTTTGTTAGGTTTGTGTTGAATTTGTCTTGGGTTTGTGTGTAACTTTCCCCGCTGGGGTTCCTTGCCTTACTTGGAGTGGGTGCGGAAATAGACCTACTGTGGATCTGTCAGAGAGTCCAAGAACCAACATTCTACGCTTACAGATAAGCCAGATTTGTGAAACGGATGTACACGCGAAAGTCAGGTTGCAGAACAGGACCAAAGTCCAAAATTAGACAAATAGCCATAATTTTCCATCAGACTTTACAGCTGGGGAACGCTATGAAGAAGAAACGTATGCTATTTTTATAACATCATACCATTGTCGCTTTGTTCTTCTT